TATGGACCAACAAATGTAGCTTAATCGATTATGAGAAAGACTAAGACTTAAATTAACCCTGGTTTTGTTCTACAATGAAGTAAATGATCAACGTAGTGTTGAAACTTTTTTATCCGGCTGTATTCACCGATTTACACGAGAAATAAGGATCTAAAATCACAGATTGGCGAGTTTATATTGTCCTTCGATCATACGTACGCACGAAAATATTATTTGCCGTACTATTTATGTAAAATTTCAATTTATAAGATTTGACCAAACAACTGTTGAATTTGGCAGCTACCACAAGTAATCAGGAAATTTCACCGATTTTTATCACACTTTTTTATATTAGTAATTTCTGGGATACAGCCAAATAACTTTAAAAATTCTAGGGTCGATTCCCAAACCAATGCTTCGATCACATAATTTAAATAGACTTCAGACACTCACTATCATAAATCGCTTGGAAAATTTATTGAACTTAGCTCAATTAGATATCGTTGGGACGGCAAAACAGACTTGGTAAAATCGCCTGAAAGCTCGACGCTAATTCAAAACATACACTTACGTCTATATCTTAGACCGTTTTTTCATAGCGTTACAAACGGTAAGGAAAATTTATGATACCCTTTGAACATACATTCGTACAGGTATAAAAACGAAAAAAGGAAAAAAGAGAAAATTCGTTTATCCAATTAAACGCTTGATTCTATTAAAATGTAGATTTTTTTTTTATATTTTTAAATTTTCTATCCTTAATAAGGTTAAAAGGATCATGTTAATTAGAATGAAAATCGTATTTTTTGTAATATAAACGGTATTTAAAGGTAACTCAAAAGTAAAAATAATTAAATAAGTTTAAAGGAAGCCATGTGTTTGTGTAGAATTAATTTTTTCCTTTTATTGAAAATTGCTATGAAATTGAATATTAGCTATTTTCTAACAAATTTATCTATAAGTGTATTGTAACAACATGTGGGATCATTAATGATATTATTTATAGTAAAAATTAATTTTTACTTTCAAGTGCAACTTAATAGTAGTATTAAAAAATATTTTAAATTTATTTTTAGGTTAAAAAAGCTGTAAAAAACGGGCAATTCTCCATGCGTCCCATGCTATTTCCCATGTATTTATTGAATATTATCGATGTTATTATATTAAGACACACTTAAAGTGAAATCTTATCATACAAGAATTCAATAGTGTTTTGTTTACAAGTACAGTTTATACAGTATGCAGTGACAATAAATAATCAAAGTGGCATCGCTCATAAACTGCATCCAGAGGAAAGGCTAACCGAAGTTCAGATGGGAAAAATCAAAGTAGCCATCATGGATGAAATGGATAAAGTTGTGGATTGTCGTCGACAATTCAGTGCAGCGTTGCAAAGGAATGGATGGATATCTGTCTTATGCAATAATCAAAATACCAGGTAGTGGATAACCAGTGTCTGCAGGAAGATAAAGCCTTGGAGGGGCTGAAACATCGTGGTACTGGATGGCGACAACATGCCTAAATAGCATGTCTGCATCACCTACGTACCAAAGAACGATACAACCGTCAATCTCTCCAGGGACAAATTTCTAAGCAGGATAAGGAAGCATAACTTCAGCCTCACGATGAGTTCCTGGAAGTTGCTCCATCACCTTCTTCGTGGATGATTCCGGTTTGGAGGATCTACGGAAAGCGGAGTTCCGACTTTTACTGAACTTCTTCCGTGTTATCGTTCGGGTTAAAGAAAGGAAATCCTCTCAAGGTGCTGCCGACAGGAGAGGACAGGACAATTTAAAAAACCAACGCCCACCGCGGCAGCAACGAGTACTTCAGACCAACTAAAAGAGTCAAAGCTCATTAGAAAGTCTGAAGTTGCTCTGAAAATGGCGACCAGGGAAATGGAAGGACCAACGACCAGCACCCGTCAGAAGGACCAACGAGGCAGGCGCTCGTCGAGATGCATAAAAAGGCGGCAATGGGAAGAAGGCCCATGTAAAGCCTTCGTATAAAGGGCCAAAGCCCATAGACAAGAACCGGAGAAAATGATATGGCTGTGAGGTGCATCCAAATAAATGTAAAGCATGCTCATCAAGGATCACCTCGATATCGCTCCTATCCAATGGCCTTACATAGTAAAGGATCAGGTTACGAATGTTCTGGCTCATAGATTTGTGAAGGATCACCCAGATATCGCTCTTATCCAAGAGCCTTACATAGTGAAGGAACAGCTTAGGGGCCTAACAGGTGAGCTATTGTAGGATAATATAATTGGAGGCAGGCCTAGGGCTTGCATTTTGTTTAGTAGAAGACTAACATATCTTCCTATTCCAGATAACTAAGGACCAGGTAGCTGCGTTGGTGAAGGTGAAGTCTTCAGGGGCCTGGACAGAGTTTATTGTATGCTCATCCTACCTCCCAAGAGACTGTGCCCATCCAGACGAACAAATGAAAGACCAAGTGGACATCCATGTCCGACCATAGGAAGATTTGGTTTGATATCATGGTCTCCGGGGGACTGGCAAAACAAATATATCATAGAGGGGATTGGATACATTAAGCATCAAGGCTTAGACTAAGGACTAGAAAGCTATTCAGTAAGGCCAAGGCGTCGGGTTCGTGGGAGGAGTATAAAGGCTCGCTCGCGAAATACAATAAAGAGATTAGAAAAACGAAGAGAAGTTTGTGGACGGCGTTCTGCAAGGGCATTCATGAACTCCCCAGCAGTGCGCGTCTTCACAGGGTGCTTTCTAAAAAGGCGACGCATGAGTCTCAGTACGCCTATCAATTGGGAACGTCTACTGTATTCGCTCTGCAGAGTTTGGTGGGAGTCCTTCAAAACGCACGGGAAGTGCGGGAGGTGGCAGTTGGCTGTTTCCTTGATGTTGAGGGAGCTTTTCGCAACACTCCGTGTCATGTCATCCGTGAGTCATTGCATAAACGAAGGATTGGTGCGACGACGAACAGATGGGTTAATCGAATACAACAGGATAGGATTATTAAGTCCACCATAGCTGACCATACACTCTTCATCTCCGCTGCAAAAGGGTGTCCGCGGGGAGGGGTGCTTTCGCCCCTTCTGTGGTCTATTGTAGTGAATGATCTAATTGCTCCTCTCGGGGGCCCGATGCACGTGTCTGGGGTTACGCTGACGATGTGGCCTTCGTCATACGGGGAAAATTTGAGAGCACTATTTTTGACGAAAGGGTGTCGTCATGCGAAGGTGGTTCTTTTGGCGTGCTCTAGCGGATTCACCGCAGAGTTTCTGGGGGTGAACAGGAGCATGGTTCGTGCCATTGCGAACTTCTTCAAGGAGCCCTGCCCAGTGAATTACCACCCGCATAAGCTGGGGAAATCGGGCTCCTTCCTGTGCAGATTTTGTGGGAACGGGGACGAGGCCGCAGTGCACATCCTTTGTGACTGGCCGGCACTGGCTGTTCAGCGCTGCAATTTTTTTGGGCATGGGTTCCTAAACATTCAGGAACTGCTATCCAACTCTCTTAGGGATATCTCCGGCTTTATAGTTTGGACGGGGATATTATAGGTGGGAGCGTGGGGAGGCTACAATAAGCCAGGAATGACTGCGGTGGCTCAGTTCACTTGGAATCTACGATCTACAATCGACAATAAATAATACTCACCGTTTGCACTGAGAATTGAGTCGATACTAGGTTTATTGACCAACAATAAGTTCATATCGAGTTGAAATTATAAATTTTTAAATATGTCCCATATTTTTTGTGAGCTATTTTGAATAATATCAATTCTGAAATCTGTACAACTGTAAAAAGAGTGCTTCGAATGTTAAAATCGAAATTTTAAATCAATAAAATTTTAAAATTCATAGCAGATTTTGGAAAAGCTACCCTAGTCTTCATTAATGTAGAAAAAACTGCGATAAAACTAAATTAGGATAAACTAAATTTTAATAAGTTCTTGAGAGTTTTGAGAGTTACAAAAAGGACAATAATTTATATATATATTTTTTTTATAAATAGGGAAATTTATCCTCAAATTTATTTTCCTTTTTTATATAATTACAATAGTTTACCTTTTCTTTTCTTTTGTGTTTGTATGTACTCGTAAATATGTATGCATGTATGTACACATGTGTTCTCCTTATATATGTAATCACAACGGTAAATTTTATTTATTTATTTTTTTTTATTATTATTTACATTCATTTATTAAAATTATTAATTATTATATAATCGAATTTTTTATACATTTATTATAATATTTTTGTTTTTTAATAATGCAAATTAAATTAAAAGTAAGCCTTAAAATAATTGAAGCCATATTTTAAATATTTATTTTAAAATTTTTATTTACATTTTATTACAAATCTATGTGAGTTATAATATTATGGTTTAATATTTTTTCTTATTTACATTCATATTATTAAATATAATACAAATTTATTTTGAATTAAAAAAATAATAATTAAAAATAAATGATATAAGAGCGAATGAGTGAATGAAAATTTTTGCATTAGATATTTACAAGAATTAATAAAAATATGACTGACGATGGGAATGTTAACAAAAAGGACGCGATTTCCTACCAAAATTATGGAAAATTTTCAAACTAAATAACTAAACATTACTCAATAATATTGCACCTAAGATTTATGGACTGAAGATTACACACCAAACACATCGGAAGTCTGGAAAAAGAAAAAACAGAAAGAATAATCACATGAGTATTTTAAACGATTCATAAGAGATTACTCTGAATACCTAAATTTCGGGCACCGAATATTTTTGTGCCTGCCTAAGTTATTTCTTCAGTTTTTTCGGCAGTAGGAACTACAACACCAGAGAATTTTCCGTAAATAATACTATATAGAGCGGGCATTAAAAAAAATATATAAATAGAGTTAGTGGTCTAAAATATTCAGACGATTCTGCACAAAAGCATGTACAATTAAAAAACCAAATAAATAAAAAATTGAAAAGTTAATTAAATAAATGAATACCAGTGAAAAGGTTAATTTCATTCACGTACGAGTATAACTTATTTTTACGCATATTTTAAATTGAATTGAAATAGACTTAAAATGCCAATTGTATTAAAAATGGTAAGAGATAATCCAATCGAATATTAGAAGTTATTATTTTGGGCCAAGAGGAGACAAAAATATTTATTTATAAAATTGAAAAAAATGTAACTATAAATGTGGGTAAAATTTAAGCTTCAATTAACGAGTGGATAGTAAATTTTTCCCTTTCCACATTTTCTTTTTTGTAATTACTCCGTTAAATTGCTCTCTCATACTTTCGTATTCTCTGTACCTTCATACATACGGTTGTATGCTCTCAATATTAATTTTGTTATCGTGCCTAAAATACTTATACGGAGAAATTAGGACAGAGTTGTAAAAATTACTACCACCTCGACGAATATGCTAAAAATTTCACCTACATAGGAATTTAAATATAAATACCAAAAATAATTTCCCATATATATGTACAAGTGAAACCGTATTCTAAAAATGTTTTATACTAGATGTAGCTTTATGCTTTAAAAATAAGATTCTTTCAAATTTCGCAACTCGAATAAATTCTATTAGTTAATTATAATTCTTCTTTTTTTTACCTAATTAATTACTTATTTTTCTTTTCTAATACAATTTTCTTAAAAATATTTTATTTACAGATTTCTAATTTAATTAATAATTGTGATTTATAAAATAAAATTGAAAATATTTAAAAAAATAATTTTTATTTTAAAGTACCGTTATTAAGAATTTACAATTTGGATTTTTTTTTGTTTTTTTTTTTTTTTGTTTATTTCATTTTTTTCTGATGGTTTTGTTTCCTACAGACTCCTAAAAAAAATATATTCATTTTAACAGTCTCTTGGTAGGCCTTTTGACCATGATACACGTAGCTTTTGTCGTCAAGTTATTTGACCTTTTTTCTCATTATTTAACATTGGTATTGCAGTAGAATGACCATTTCCATAATTTTCAACAAAAGTGGTCTGCATTGTCTGTGAATAAAATTAAAAAAAAAATGTATAAAAGAATGAATTTTAAATAAATATTTATGAAAAATTGCATATCTTTAGGCTTAATGTTTATCACTACATAGTAAAATCAGAATTTTCATCTACTTTTGTGTACTTTTAAAACATTTTTTCAAGAAATTATTGCAAAAAGCATGTACTTTAAAAGATTTTTCAATAAAATTAGTGTAATTAGAGCAACTTTTATTAAAAAATCAGGTTATAATCAGTCGTCGAACTGTTGGATGACCCACGGCTTCATCCTACCGTCGAAACTCCTACTGTCGAACCACCACTGCGATGGTACCGCAGCTAGCCGTGGGTTATTCATAGCGCTCGCATACTATTCTAGTTTATTTGCGCTCAACAACACAACAAAAAATCATAAACAAAATATTCCCTCCCTTTTCTACACCTGGATTTTGTTTTCCTTTTCTTTCTTTTCTTTTGCTTAAATATTCGTACATACTTGTCTTGAAATATCTCTAGTTATATCTCGTACACTAGTCAATTGATAATTACTTCTGGAACCAGGACTAACATTATTCATTCTTGATGCTGGTGTACTATGATTTAATGAACGATCTTCAACTCGAATCCTTGCACATCGACACTTTTCAAGCGCATTCCGAAATTCACGACGGAATTTTCCTGTGAATTTATAAAAGAAATAAAAAATTTTTAAATTATTATTAAATGTAAGGAAAAATACAGAATGGTTATAATGGTGTTACACAATTATTGTTGTGTTATACTGTGTTACATTATTTAAATATAAAATTCAAATGCAAGTATTGTATAATATAAATTCTGTATAACATATTTAGTATAATATAGCTTTACACAGCAATAAGAGTATTTTTGAAATTATAAGAAATTTTTATATTACCACTCATAAAATTGTAAATAATTGGATTGATAGCACTATTAGCATAGCATAACCAATGTGATAGTAATGAAAATATACTAGTTAGTTCGTTGTGTGGTAGTGTGTCGGTATATCTGGAATAAAAAAATAATAATAAAAATAAATTAATTCATTTTATTGCATCATTTATTCCAATTTTATTATTTGTATTTTTTACAAAAGGGTGATTAGACTTTTATAATAACATTATAGACAAAAAGGCGCATTTTAAAGAATGCAGAGTTCTGCATAAAATCGGAAAAATGTGTGAAAATATAAAATTTTATTTTGAATGGAATTAGATGGACTATGAGTTCAGTCGACAATCACTTTTGTTTGGCAGGAATAATCAAAGATTGTAAAATAATAAGACGGATGCTCGTGCCATAGATTTGATAAGATAAGATTAGATTTGTAAATTGGGGTCATCCTCAGAAAAGATCACCGCAGCCATAAAGGCTTATTATAACTTCTTACCGTGCATAAAGTGCCAGCTAGGCTTATAATTCTCAAGTGACTACATATTTGTCTAACCAACACCTTCCAGAAGTTTGAGGATGTTACCATATTTCACTCCCTCCCATCCAAGTGGATCAATTGCCTTCTGGTCGTGTATCTTCATCATGGTTTTTTTTTCTTTATCACTCCTTGGAGGAGCATAGGGCTAGTGCATGATATCATGCCCTAGTTTCATAGCATCATAGAGTTAACTAGGTAGGTGACTAGCCTGCCGTAGTTTTTATTTATATTAAATATTTTAGTTTATTAATATTTACTGTTTATTTTTCTTAGTTTTTTTTAATATCGAATATTATGAATATTTGAAAATTACTTGTATAATATTAATTAGTATTGTATATCAAGTTATATAATATTGAATATAATTTTTATAGTGACCTGACCTGGGTCAGAACCCGAGACCCTTCGGTTAAAGGACCAGTGCCATAACCACTGCAGCAATGGTCAGGTTATCTTCATAATGGTTAAATTTATACAAATGGTCCCCAAATTTTCCCATTTTGTGCAAGTAATAACCCAGTCTGCAATGTCCAGTGAGGAGACAGACCATTAACTTGGTCTGGCATTTTTAGATATTTTGGCCCTTCTGAGAGACAGACCAGTAATAACGAGTTCGTCTCCCTCATTTTCGACGGCCACTCCTCACACTCCTGTTAACGAAGTTCCACTCGTTCCGCATGCTCATGCAATAAAAATTACTTCAACTATACAATTCTTACTTGAATTTTTTTAAAATTCTACAAGAAATACTCTTTAATCAATACACAAGAAGTGCTTTTAATGAAAGAAGGGATGATTAAAAAAAGAAGGGATGACAAAATCTTCATTCAATCCATAAATTAATAAAATTCTCCCAGTCATAAAATCATGATTATTTTTTCGAAAAAAAATTTCCTTCATATTCGATTTATATATGCTTGTTGTGTGTCTCAAAATTAAAAAAAGAAAGAAAAAAAAATTACCACTGCAAGGCAATTTAAGTGAACCTAATTTTTCTATCCTTTGTTCTCCTTCATTTATAATGCAAAATAAATAGGACTAGGCTAATATTAAATAAAAACGAAGTGACTATGTTGATAATGTTTTGCATTTAAATCTAAAAATTAGAAAATTTTTAGTCTATCTCTACAAAATATTCTCTTCTTTTTTTAAATATTCGTAAGGATCATAAAAAAAATTATCGGACCCAAAGATATTTTATTTTCATTTTTATATTTCTCATTCTTTTTATATGTTTTACTGCAACGAATAAAAATGGACCTCATATTTTCTACTTAGTATTCTATTTTAATATTTGTTGCTCTTTAATATATGCAACAGTCCTCATACACAAATAAATTCTTAATTACACTTGGGGTAAGTTTGAAAAGTTTCATTCTCCATATCGCAAAAAATTTAAAAAGCTTGAATATTGTCTTCTCATGTAGTATTTATGATACCCTATATTAAGTTTTAAGTAAAATTTTTAAAAATTTGAAAAAAATGTAAGATTTTTTCTTTAAGGACCTTAATCTCACAACTTAACATTTGTATAATGAAAACGTATAAACCGTTGGGCTATGAATTTAATGGGAAAGTTTACAAGTTGAAACTACATTTTTAGTTTTGTAATATTAAAAATTTCAAAAGAATTTAAGTACATGCTTGTATTTTATAGAAAAGCAGTAGGAAAAATGTACATTTTGTGAGTAAAACATAAGAGTTAGAAAAATTTTTTAATTATTTTTAGTTTTAGGAGGAAATTAAAAAAAAATCACACATCTTGAATATTCATTAAAAATCATAACAAAGATTACAGTATTCTCTTACAACTTCTTTTTCAGTGGGCATTGTCCTGTGAAATATCCCTTGCACAAACTGGAAAAATCGGATTCCCTTGTGTGTAGATTCTGTCGGGACAAAGAAGAGACAGCCTTATATATTCTGTATGACTGTCCTACTATAGCTGTCAAGAAACGCAAATGGTTTGAACGGAGTTTTCTTAGTGTTGGGGAATTAATTTCCAACTCCTTGACGAATATTTCCGGGTATTTGCTTGGGACTGGGGCAGTATAAGTGCGATACAGGAGGGTTACAATACGCCACGACTGGCTGCGATTATCGAAGAGAAGGAGTTCCTAATTCTTCTTCTTGTCTGCCTATTCTAGTTCCCTGTCTCTATTTAACTTTCGTAGAACCTCAGCATTTGTGACTCTATCGATATATGATATTCTGAGCATTGTACGATAGCACCACATCTCAAATGGTTCTAGCTTGTTCATGGTTGGAACTTTTAACGTCCACACTTCTGACCCATATGAGGGAAATGACCAAACGTAACACTTTAAGTAACTTAATAGCAGATTGATTTTAAACTTCCGATTGCATAGTGCTCCCCTATATTTATTAAAAGCTGATCTGGCTACTTCTATTTTGACTTTTATCTCCTTATCTCATGTCCACCTGCTTTCAAGCCAACCTCCGAGATATTTGAAACTTGTTACATAATCTATTGCTTTATTATTTATTTGTAGTAAATAATTATAATTAATGTTGCAATTATTTTTACTGATAGTCATAAATTTTGTTTTATCAATATTTATGTTTAGCCCATATTGTTTGCTATGTACTTTAACTTTGTATGACAGCTATAAGTGTTGTGTCGTCTGCGTAGCGAATGTTATTGATGAAGATTCCATTGACTTTTATACCTTTATCTTGTAGTTCAATAGCTTCATAGAATATTTGCTCAGAATACAAATTGAACAATAAAGGCGATAATATACATCCCTATTGGACACCTTTCCGGATCTGTAACTCATCAACGATATTTCGGCCGTTTGCATCTAATAAAGATCGCTAATACATCGTATGTCTTTATGTTTTTCAGAATCTAATGTTAATGTTTTTCAGAATGTCAATTAGTTTGTCGTGTTGTAGTCCATTAAATGCCTTTTCGTAATCGACGAAGCATATATACACGTTATCCATGGTGCATCCAAGCGGCGTATCGCGGCTTATATCAGGGATGGCATTTCCCCAGAGGAAGTTCGCAGATATTAGAAGGAAAGGCTAGAAAAGCTGAGGGCCTGCGGATCGGGTGTTGTGGCCGACCATCCCCAGAAGAGGGAAAGCAACACCCCTGATGCAGGGCCCTCAAAAAAGAGGTCGATGAAGGGCAATGTTGAGGAAAAGGTCCCTGGGAACATTCCTCAACAAAACCCGAAAATGACTTCTTATCGGGATGCAGTAGCACAGGTCAAGATGGCCATCACTCATAGACTGCATCCAGAGGAAAGGCTATCCGAAGTTCAGATGGAGAAAATCAAAGTAGCCATCATGGATGAAATGGATAAAGTTGTGGACTCTCATCCACAATTCACTGCAGCGTTGCAAAGGGACGGATGGATATCCGTAACATGCAACAATCAAAACACCAGGGAGTGGATAACCAGTGTCTTCAGGAAGATAAAGCTTTCGGACGGGTGCGACGTCGTGGTACTGGATGGCGACGACATGCCCAAACAGCATGTCTGCGTCACCTACGTACCAAAGGACGAGACAACCGTCAGTCTCTCCAGTGAAAAATTTCTAAGTAGGATAGGGAAGCAAAATCCCGGCCTCAAGATAAGTTCTTGGAGGGTGCTGAGGATGGATAAGGAAAAGGACGGGGGCTGCTCCATCACCTTTTCCGTGGATGATTCTGGATTGGAAAATCTACGGAAAGCGGAGTTCCGACTTTTCCTGAATTTCTTCCGTGTTACCGTTCGGGTTAAAGGAAGAAAATCCTCTTAAGGTGCTGGCGGCAGGGCAGGACAAAATAAAAAACGAATGCCCACCGCGACGACGACGAGCACTTCAGGCCAACCAAAAGAGCCAAAACTCATTGGAAAGTCTGAAGTCGTTCCAAAAATGGCGGCAAGGGAAACGGAAGGACCATCGACCATCACGCCAAATACAAGTGTCCCGGGTGAACCAAAAGGGCTCAAGCCCATTGGGAAGCCCGGAGCTGCTTCGGTATTTGGTGTTGGAGGGGATAGTGTGGCACCTGGGACGGCAAAAGAGGCTGTGGCAAGGCAGGCGCCCACCAAGATGTGTAAAAAGGTGGCAATGGGAGGCAAGGCTCATGTAAAGCCTTTGTCTAAAGGACCAAAGCCCATAGACAAGAGCCGGAGGAAATTATATGGCTGTGAGGTGCATCCAAATAAATTTACAGCATGCTAGGGCATCTACTGATGTTCTAGCTCATAGATTTATGAAGAATCTCGATATTGCCCTTATAGATTTATGAAGACCTCGATATTGCCCTTATCCAAGAGCCTTACATAGTGAAGGATGATAACAGGTGAGCTATTGTATGATAATACAATTGAAAGCAGGCCTAGGGCTTGCATTTTGTTTAGTAAAAGGCTAACGTATTTTCCCATTCCAGCTTACTGTTCTAAGAATGAAGTAGCTGCGTTGGTGAAGGTGAAGTGCCCACCCGGACGAGCAACTGAAGGATCTAGTGGACTTTTGTGGAAGGAGGAACTTCCAACTTATAATAGGAAGTGATGCCAATGCCCACCACACCGTCTGGGGAAGCAGCAATATAAACAAAAGAGGTGAGTGCCTACTTGAATTTATATATAGCAATAAATTAATGGTTATGAATGAGGGCAATAGGACGACATTCATAAATGCAATTGATATCATGGTCTCCGGAGGCCTGGCAGAAGAAATATATCGGGTACCCCAATCCACAGATTGGAGTCAATTCGAAACGCTCCTCATGGATGGGATTGGATTCGTTCCTGCTTCTGTCAGAACGGTGATGGATATCGAACTGGCCAGCGAGGCCCTGACGGCGGCTATTACTAATGCCTACCACGGGAGCTGCCGCGCTAAGCCGAGGCGGAGCAATAGAAGTGCCCGTGGTGGAATGAAGAGCTTTCAAGGCTTAGACTAAAGACCAGAAAGCTATTCAATAAGGCCAAGGCGTCGGGTTCGTGGGAAGAGTATAAAGACTCACTCACAAAATACAATGCGTTCTGCAAGGGCATTGATGAACTCTCCAGCAGTGCGCGTCTTCACAGGGTGCTTTCCAAAAAGTATGTTATCGGGTTGGGCCTAATGGAACGGCCTGATGGCTCCATGACTGAGAACGGAAAGCAGACGTTGGAGCTTATGGCGTCAACGCACTTTCCTGACTCGGAGATTCTTCGGAATTATTCAAATGCGGTCATTGAACCGAGAGCATCCTGACCCTGGAGGGATGACTGGCAACGATCCCGTCTAGTCTTCACGATGGGCAGGATTAGATGGGCTGTTTTCTCTTTTAGGCCCTTCAAATCTCCAGGTGATGCGTACCAGCTATGCGTGGGGTTACATCCCTCAGGCATGGAGGGTGGCTAAAGTGACTTATATTCCGAAGATGGGTAAGCGACCAAGCAACCACCCAAGCCTTACTTCTTTTCTATTGAAAGCAATGGAAAAAGTGATTGATAGATTTATACGGGACGATGCACTGGGAAGCAATCCCTTGCATGAATCTCAGTACGCCTATCAGTCGGGAAGGTCTACTGTACTCGCTCTGCAGAGTCTGGTGGTGGTCCTTGAAAACTTACTGGAGGTGCGAGAGGAGGAAGTTGGCTGTTTTCTTGATATAGAGGGAGCTTTTGACAACACCCCATATCATGTCATCTCACAAACGAGGGATTGATGCGACGACTAGCAGATGGGTTAATCGGATGCTACAGGATAGGATTATTAAGTCTACCATAGCTGACGATATACTCTTCATCTCCGCTGCAAAAGGATGTCCGAAGGGCAGGCTCCTTTCACCCCTCCTGTGGTCCATTGTAGTGGATGATCTAATCGCTGCTCTCAGGGGCTCCGGGGCGCGTGTCTGGGGATACGCCGACGATGTGGTCTTCGTCGTGCGGGGAAAATTTGAGAGCACTATTTCTGATCTTCTACAGCAAAATTTACGTGTTGTGGAAAGCTGGTGCAAAGGCGTTGAGTTAAATATAAATCCAAGCAAGAGCACTTTAGTCGCCTTCACCGGACGCAGAAGCAGGGATAGATTAACTAGCCCAATTCTGTTTGTTGAACGTATTAGTTACTCTAGGGAGGTGAAGTATCTGGGGGTAACCGTGGATGATCGTCTCTCTTGGAATACCCATATAGATAGAGTTATCGGGAGAGCTATGGCGGCCTTGTGAACGTGTAGGAGCTTCATCGGGGGGACCTGGGGAATTAGTCCCAGAATAGCACTGTGGCTATATACGGCAATTGCTAGGCTCATCGTCACATATGCGTCGATTGTATGGTGCCGTAAGGCTCAGCAGGCGGGTGTGCGGGCCAAGCTGGAAAAGCTACAGAGGCTGGCCTGCCTGGGAGTGACTGGGGCAACGCGGACGGCTCCCACCGCTGCATTGGAGGTGATGATCGGATTGCTGCCACTGCACCTCCATATATTGAAGGAAGCCCGGCTAGTGACTTACCGACTTCTCTCTGGCGAGGGCGGGGCTGGGCTAAAGTTGGCCCACAGAACTCACAGAGACTTCATTGAGAGCGACCCGATTCTAAGAATAACCATGTCGGATACCTGTCTGCCGCGGTACAACTTCGACCACAGGTACAGGGTTCTGTTTCCCGATCGATGGACGTGGGATCGGGGTGGTCCGGCACTTAGGTCGAGTTCGAGAGTCGGGTGTGGGTTCGGGCGTATACGGTGTCCGTCCGGACACGTGTGCATATGTGACCATTGACCCGTATTGCACAGTGTTCCAGGCCGAAATACATGCAATAGATATCTGTCTGAGACTCAATTTAGAAAGGGGGTATAGAAACCGCACCATCTATGTGTTCCCAGACAGCAGGGCTGCACTGCTGGCGCTTCGTTCTGCTCAGGGTACATCCAAGCTGGTCTGGAGCTGCCTTGCTGCACTTATGGAATTGGCATCGGAGAACAGAGTGACGCTCATTTGGGTGCCGGGCCATAGTGGCCATGCGGACAACGAATTTGCCGATGGGCTGGCGCGGAGAGGATCTGGGGCTGACTTTGTGCAGCCGCTGCCTTTCTGCCTTCTTCCGCCGTGGGGGCCAGGCTTGCCTGCCAGCTCGCGGCGGAATGCGGTCGTCACTGGCGGGACACGAAAGGGTGCCGTCATGCGAAAGTGTTTCTTTCGGCGTGCTCCAGCGGATTCACCGCAGAGTTGCTGGGGATGAGCAGGAGCCGGGTTTGCACTATTGCGAATTTCTTCACGGGGCACTGCCCAGTGAACTACCACCTGCATAGTCTGGGGAAGTCGGGCTCCCCCCTGTGCAGATTTTGTGGGGGTGGCGATGAGACCGCCGTGCACATTCTCTGCGACTGTCCGGCACTGGCTGTTCGGCACCGCAATTGTCTTGGACATGGGTCCCTAAGTGTTCAGGAACTGTAGTCCAACTCCCTTAGGGATATCTCCGGCTTTGTGGTTGGGACGGGGATATTATAGACTGGGGAGTGGGTGGGCTACAATAAGTCAAAAATGGTTGCGGTGGCTTGGGGGGTTACTCCTGTCCCACTCGGTTCCCTTAGAATCTACGAATATATACACGTCGTTTCTCATGTTCTTGCAACTTTGTATAAGCTTTTGAGTACCTAAATATAGCTTTCCCAGTGCCAGTTCCTTCTTTAAAGCCGAATAATACTGAACGGAGCTTTTAAAACTTCTGTTGTCGGATAATACTCACTATGTATAGTAAATAAATAAACATTTAATAAGTTGCCGTTAGTTAAATGACGCGAACCACTACAATCCATCAGCATATGAGAAAACCAGAGAATTTGCATTTTATTTTCCCCTTCTTTCCAAATGAAAACTATTGAAAAAGTATTGGGTGATCTATGAACATAGGATTCCTTATTTGAAAATTTTAAATCTGGTATTTTAAATATTTTAATATTGCGTATAGTATCATATCATATAATTTACCGACCTAGAATATTCAATTCAATGAAAATCAGAAGTGCATAAAGTTAACATTTTTAAAAACATGTAAAATGATACTTGAAAATTTTTTCAAATTAAAAATGAATATGTAGTACAATATTCTGACATAAGGGTATGCATATGAGGGCACCAATGAATGGTTATAAGAGTTTTACGTGTAGAATGTGCCATTTTGCAAATTAAAAACTTGGGTTATTGATTTTATGAAACTTTTTTCTATATATTATAACGTTATATTTGAAATAATTGTAAAATTTTGTTCATTTAGTGGTCAATTTAAAATTCAATTTAGTAGTCTGTCTCGAGTACATACACTTTTAATAAATGTTTTTAATTGAAAAAGAAAAATTGTTAGGAACGAGAATCTTAAACTATTCAATGTAATTATATTGTTATATATATTTTTTTTTTTTCTAAAAACTAACTGATTACTAAGGAATTATCTTGGTTAATCCAATTTTAAATTTAAGGTGTAACTTATTAAAAGGATAACCTTCTAACAGGCTATTTAGAAATTTTGAAGAGTAGTGGCGTAGGATTTTTTATTAGAAATCGCGGGTGACATTCCTCTATAAGATATGGACGATGGACGCATAAGATGAGGTTTTACTTGATTACTGGGAAACCGAAAACGTGATTTTGTTGAAAAAGAAGTGATATCTTGTAGGTGTATCAGTATTTTCACGGACAGCAATAAAGGCATAGAAAGTATAAGCGTCTACTTTTAGAGCGGCTCGGGATTTGACTTGCGATCATTTTCCTAATTTGATCAAGGGACTCTTCGAAAATTCTCTGATTCAGGTTCCGGATACAGCAGAATTCAAGGAAACTATAGAGCGTATAAACTCGCTTGGTAAGGAACAGATCTTAAAATTGTATCTAAAACGGAGAATCTTGATATCTGTGTGTGGCAATAGAGTAAACCAATTTCGGATAAACAAATGGAACAACATTTAATGCCACCCGACAATTACTAATTTATGCTGATAATTACTTAACATTCGATACCTGGGAAGTTCAAATTCTTCATTTAAACATTTAATTAATTACCTCATTATATTAAATGTATGAACTGGTGCATAACAAACCGCAAACATTATTACAACAGCCACTAACATTTTTGCTGCTTTTCTACGTGCTCTCAATTGACCCATGGTACTCGTATTTGAGGCAGGCATTTGTGATCCTCTTGCATCTATATTGTAGATATTGATTTAATAATCGAATGTAAAAGAAATATTGGGATTTTATATTGTTTAAAAAATTAATTACATCTCAAAAGTAAATTTAAGAAAGTTAACTTACAGCCACATGTTGTATATTGATGATGATTTCTAGATTCTCTGTGACCTGGTATCGTTTCCGATTTCCATAATACTCGTACAATTTTGAAGTACGCAATTGTCATCAAGAATAACGGTAATCTAGAATTATATATAATTAAAATCAAAAATTTCAAAGAGTGTATTTACTAAATTTTATATTAACAATTATAAATATGAGTAAAAATTCTTTAAGAGTGGGATTTATTTGAAGTAAAAAAGTGAGTAAACTTCCTCTTGTGTACAAAAAAAATTTCAATTTTAACCATATTTGAAAGTATGCTAAATAATAAAGGAATTCACTTATTTTCTGTACCTTTACTTTATTAACACTTAATTTTGTTTTTATCATTTTTTTTTTCTAAAATTTTTTGACAGAAAAATTTTTACCGTGAAATTTTTATTCATATTAATGGATGGTTTTTGTTTACGATTAAATATTCTTGGAGGGGTGTTACTTTCGTCATTTATTCTCCTCTTAACAGTGCAGTATTCTTTCATCTATAACTTTGAAGTTTGTATAAGAGATGAGAGGAAAATATGGGAAGAGATAGGAAATGGAAAGGCAGAGTGTTCAAAGAGTATGAGTGTATAAAGGGTCATAAAGTATTCATTGTTTTATCATATAAGCAGTTAGCAGTATAATCCTAACCACTCATGTATTATCGAAAAGAAGACCAACGGAAAACTTTCTCTTATTAATTTCAATTGCGAAAGGAGTAATTAAAAATTCAGGGTATAAATTTTTGTGTTTTTTTTGTCTTCCTCTTACTTTTTAATAAAGTTTTTTCTTTTTTTTTGTGTTTGTCTTTGAAACGAGTCATTTTTTAATAAAAATTTTTTAAGGAAGGTTGCAAAAAAAAAAATCAAAATTAATTTTTTAAATTAAAATAAAACTTTGGACTACTCAAATTATAAGCTGATTTATAATTGAAAAATAGGTAAATAAAAATGATAATATTAAAAAACTAGTCAGAGAACAAAGTTCTGAAAACAAAAATTTTTAACAAATTAGTAAGGAGGAACTATAAACTTCACTGAACGCCGCCCTTCGAATCTTTCAATCAATTTTAATTAAATTTTTTTTGTCATTTTTTTTGCCATTCTCCTGGAAACTTTTTAATAAAGTATCGCAAAGCAAAAATTTAATAACACTACTTAAAAATAAAATAATATTAAAAAACTGTTTTAATTATTTAGATTGCAAAGGATCTTTAAAAAAGAAAACAAAAAAAAAATATTTTAAAAGGGTTAATGAGATTTTAAAAACTTTTCTATTTATAAAAAATTTATTTTATTATTATTAAATTAAAATCAAACGTAGACTGAAAATTTATTTAAAATTAAAATATCGATACGTGTGTCGTAATTGGTATAATGTACTTAATTACTATAGAACTTAGACAGCTGATTTTCTGGCAAGGAGAGGTTCTAATACGCCTCTCGAATCGGACCATATATTGTTCATTGGGAACTCAGAAAGGAATTAGAGGGGGGGCGGTCGAAGCACGAGAAAAGCCTTCGGGGCTGCGGCAGACCAAAGAGTTTCTGCGAGACCAGAAGGTATTTGAGAAAATTATACGGTAGTGAAAGAATTAAAAGAGAGTTTTCACTGAATTCTCATCGAAGTACTGCAAATTTTAGGGAATCTCAATTGGCTGGATCCGGATTCATTTGCAGATTCTTTGGAGATAATAAGGAGACTTCAGTACATCCTACTAGGAGAGTATGATGCTCTTGCTTGTATAAGAAGGGAAATGCGTGGGGAAGGAGGGATTATATTCTCACGACGACGAAGTTATAGGCCTCACTGGGTGCTTAAGTTCATCTAAAGGATAGTTTCTAAAGGGTATTGCGTGGCATGCCTCGCACTCGGGGGGGTCTGCGTCGTGTTAAGTGCAAAACCTACTATAGAGCTAATAAAAGTAGTAGCTCTGGTTAAGTAGTGAAGCTGATATAACAATAAATTTTTGAACAACAGCATTGAGAGAATAAGATGTAAAAGACAATCTTACACGCAAATCTTAAACAGTTTAATTCATAGATCAAGTAATTCATATATGGTGCTAAAAACCTGTTTCATTAAAAACATTTCATATTTTTTTGCTATCTTATATTTCGGGCGTATAATTTGAAATATCTAATCTACATCACATGGTGCAGACTTGTAAAATAAAAAATTCCAACTACTCTTATTATTAAGGCTTCAAATTCTCAATTTATATGCCATTATCCACAACATAACCAATATAATTTTTAAATAATACTTTAATATTATATAAAATTATTTGTTAAGAAAAATTTATACTTACATATACAATGTTACAAGCCGTACAATATAAAAATTCTTTTCAGTCTCAATATCCCATGTGGTCTGACATTGTGTAAATAAAACAGTTTCATATCGTAATTTTGAATTCATTGGCTTTAATGTCAAGGCTAAAAATTCTGGAACATCTATTTATTAAGTATAAAAGAAAAAAATTTTATTTAGAAATTAGAGGAAATATTTTTTAATAAAATTTAATAATTATGTAAATATGATTAATAATAATTATAAGCATTACGGTTATAATAAAAAACCAAAGGTTATACTTATGAAAATATTGTACACTTGTGTCACAAAAATATTATCGTTGCATAAGCATTAATGGCAGAGAAAATTTTGCAAATTAAATTTTCTTTAATATGGCCATCATTATAATGAAATTATGATTTTTTTTTTAAATTACCTGAAATGAGCGCAACAATCCAAATAAATGCAACTGATGCAATCGCTCTAGTTATTTTCGTTCTATATCTTAGTGGAAAACAAATTGCATACCATCTGTCCACTGATATAAATGTTAATGTCAATACAGATACTGTTACTGAAATTGACTAAAATTGAGGGGAAAAGAAATTTAAATAAATTTATTCTTGATTAAAATACAACAAAAAAAAAAATTTAAATATTATATTTTTTTAGAGGAAAAATTTTTATCTCAAACTTGGAATGGTAAATATGTATATACATACACACATTTAAAAATAAAGTTTAAATTTTTAAAAATTTTAATGAAAGAAAAATTAAACTAATTTTGTTGTAGAAGTCTGAAATTCTAGCTAAACGACGTCCTTATTATATACTATTAATAATTTTTAAAAATCAATTTACTTCCGGGAAACTGCAAAGAAAGGGTTGGTTAAAAATAGTTAAGCTCAAAAGATAGAATCGGATAAGTCACAACCTAAGCCGGCCACCCGAAATAATTATCAAACTCATGTAAGGGGCGAACTCGCAAGTAGAATTAAATTAATTTTTTTGATGTTTTCTTCAGTAACGGCCGAATAGGGACAAACGGAGTATTCAGCATCATCGGTGCTTGTACGACCACGGTTAAAGTCAGCAAATCACTTTTCAACCATTTGCCTCGATCGAGCGGAATCCGAATAACACTTATCAAGCCATTGTTTGGTATGCACCGTGTTTTTTCCCATCAAAAAGAAATGCTTAATGAGCACAAGAAATTCTGATTTGTTCATTTTTTTTCAATTCCTCAAAGTTGATTCAATCGTTCGCACACTAACTTGGTAAATAATGGTCCGAATGTCATGAAACATTGACACATATCGTTTGAAGGTTGGTATTTTTTGAAAACCATACAGATTCGGTATTTGTATCGCCATCTATATGTCATCCTACGGACTTATTGAGCAATGTGTTATTAGATATCCAAAAAACACGGCACAAAGAGCAGTACACATCAAAATAAAAAAAAATAAGGCAGGTGCAATATGGGCGGAAATAAAAGCAATCACATATCAACAACAGTAACTTCCTTTCCTTCTGCACCACTAGAAAAGATATAGAGATTTCGCTTGATTTCATAAAGCCATGCCTCAGTTTCGTAACTCATTGGATTTTCAATAGGTCGATGACTAGCTATATAATATTGAAAATAAGTTTTAAAAGGACCCGAACCCGGAGCTGTTCAGTGGATCAACTAATGCTATAATCGCTGCATCATAGATGAGGTGCTTGAAGGCGGCGTAAAAAGGGATTAAAAAGAGTTTTAAAATTTATTTTAATTAACATTGTTTTCAGTTAATAGTTAGAAGAAGTGAAGTAAATCTAACTGAAATCATTAAATCAATATAAAAAAAAATAATAACAATTTTCGTTTTTGACCTAAGGAGTGAGACTGTGAATTTAACAATGATAATTGTTGAAAAACAACTTATTTTGAATTATACGTTGAAATATTTAGTGATAGTAATGAATATTTTGCTAAATCAACAAAAATTTATTTATTTGTATATTTAATAGGAAAATTTTGAAGAAAAGCGCTATAATTTAATTAAAACAAAATGAAGGACAACACAAATTAAACGGAACTGTTAAGTTAACGAAACAAACAAACTCTTAACTATTATAAAATAATTTTCAATGAATTGAAAATTTTCTAAAAACAAAAAATTTTTATTTTACAAAATATTGTTAATTTCAATTATAACTGCGATTACTTTGTATACGTTCGTACGTAATAATGGAAAAGTGTTTTTCCATAATAGAGGGAAAAAAATTTTCCTGGAAAATTTCTAAAAATTAAAGTAGATTGTTTCGTTGTTTTTCTGCTTTTTTTTTTGTTTTTTTAAAAAAACAATAAAAAAAAGGAATCTTTTAATTTAAAATTTGAAAAAGAAAAAATTCACATTAAATTTGTTGATTTACATTAAAGGAAATTGAAGGTGGAAGCGCGTCAATCCTTTAAAAAAATTTAAGTGTAATAAAAAAAATAGAAACTTTGTCATTCCTTAAGTGAGACACAATAAGTGTAGCCATTCAGAGTAATTATTGTTTATATAACACTTGTTAATTTAATACCTCTACAATCTTTTACCAAAAAAGTATTATAAATGTATTGCCTAAGTTTGTAATATTGTAAAGCAAAAATATAAAACTCGATTGGTGTCCGAACGGCGGCGACGGCGATGATAACTGAATATTTTTGTACAATTTTCTTTTACTGAAATTTAAACAACAAATTTTACTTAAATTTAATAAATAATTTTACTGATCTTTAATAAATTTTACAGGTTTTCCCGAGATAGTACTTATCACACTATTTTGTATCCTATAAGTAACAACATTGACGCTGGTAATAAATAGAAGAGGTACGAAAGGACTATCTTAAGAAGTACATTAGGATTTGCGACATTGTAATTGGAGATGCAAGAATGAAAAGTAATACTATATTTTCTACTACAGGTAAGAACTAATTCATTTTATGAAAAAAGTGATTGAAAGTTTTGAAAAGTATTATATTATGAGAGAGCAAATCGAAAGCTTTACTTAGATCAGTATTAATAACATTCTTCTAAAACCCAACCTCCATCTTATTTAAAAACTTGGAAGCATATTCAAGCAGATAATTTAAAAATTAATGTGGATTTGGCACTATTAACTCTGAACTATAATATTATAAATTACGTCATTCACCATTAACTTCCAAATACCATGGGGTATGTTAGATAGTTTATGTGTTAGGTGATAAGAATTATGTTTTCCACCAACGATAGATGTATTTCTGGAAGAGAATGACCAATGTAGTTAGGGAAATATTCAAAATTAAGTGGGTTCAAGTCAAACTGATTATTATAGAACAAGCGCTAGAGCATTCATTTACAGAACGAATATGTATTCCGAAAGGATTGTGTCCAGGCTAGGTAATAGATGTTCAAATTGGAGAATGTAAGGACTGTATTGATACAGAGTGTACGCTGCAATGCATAATTGTCATCTGCATGTCTTGTTTAAATTCTTTTCATCGTTTTTATATATAAATTTATCTTATATCCTATAGATAACAAGAATATTTGAATTTTGATTGAAAGCATTAAGAAATTGTGAATAAATTGTCTTTCAACTTTCTTTTACTTTTCACAAGATTGTCTTGATTTTCTTTTCTTACATATAAGATTTTTCTTAACGGATAACAAAAGTATATAAAAGAAAATATTCTGTTATATATTCTTTATTTTACCGCTATACCTATATACCAATATAAAAAAATGTTTTATTTATGTCTATTATAATATTTGACAGTAAAAGAGTGAGAATATTCGATTGTATAAAAGGAATGAAAAAAAATTCCTTATTATTCTCTTAGAATTTTTCTTGTATTATTGTCATTTTTCTCAAGGATCCTTTTAAATATCTCTTGAGATTATTATGGTGTAAGCAATTTAATGAAAAATGAAGAACAAAAAAATTATACAAATTTTTATAATAAAAGTGCCATGTCTTGAGTTTTTAACTGAAACTCATATTTTCCTTTCTACAATATTATAAGTAAAAAGAATTTTCAAATTTGACTCTTTCAACATGCCATAAGCACACTATTTTATAACTGTATAGGAACTATAATGAAATGATTAGTATATGAAATTTCTAAGTAAAGTTCTTAGAAATTTGTTTTTGAGATTCATGGACAAATTTTAAGGGACATTTTGGAATTTATTTTAAATTTGATTTTTTAAAACGTAAAACTCCAAAATTAGCAACATTCTCTAAGTATTTTTTCTATTTCAGTACTCTTATAATTTAAAATAAAGAAAATTGGAAAATAAAAAAAATAGATTGAAAAGCAAAATAAATTTTTTTTTTATAAATTTTTTTTTGGAATGAAATTTTTTTTTGTGGAACTAAATTCCAAGAATTGTGTTGAAAATAGAAAATGTACTTCAAAATAGAAAAAATGTAGGTACTTAGAAAACATTAAAGTGTCTGAAAAAGAGAACAAAAGAGAAAATGTCACTGAATAAGAAAAGTTTTCAAATAATTTTTAATTTACAAAAGAAAATATTTTGTTTAAACATTAAAAAATTTTTTTCTCAGCCTTTAAGTATGCTATTTTATTTATTCAAAAATTATTGTCAACCAACTTTTGTATAGCTATTATGAGTGGAAGTGTGAGTATAGAAATTTGATTAGAAATAATGAAGAACTAAATCTTAGTTGAAAAGTTAAAAATAAATATAAATATAAAATGTCAGTCAAATAAACAAAATAAAAAAACAATTTTCTCCTTTTCAAAAATTTTGTTTACTCATGAGGGCCTATACAATGGTAGAATGTGGATTATTGGAGGGAGATATGAGCAAAAGAATTCCTTTTCTCCGACCATCGGAGCCAGCCATGGCTTATTGTAGCCCTTCCATATTCAACTTGCGTTACCGCGATTCCAAGTAAATAACCGAAGATATCTCTTAGTGAATTAAAAGTGAGCTCTGAGAGCAGGATAGTCACAAAGAATATACACAGCTCTTCCTTTATCGCCTCGGCAGAAACTACTCAAAAGGGAGTACGATTTGTCTAGTGTAGAAGCCAATAATAACAAGAACGCGGTTTCGATCCATCTCAAAAATTACACTTAGATACGACACACCCTGTATTTAGTTATCAAAATTTTAAAGACTTTTGTTTGTGTTTAGTCCCACTCGTATATAGTATAGACTTTTCGACTGTATTGTGTTTTATGTTTACTTAAAAATTACTAATGTCTCAGTACAAATTTTAAGCATATGCTCTGAACAACAAGTTGATTATACAATGAATGAAATTGTGGAACTGAACAGTTATAGTGTAAGAGGCGGTTGGGTTTTCCTAAACTGTGGAAAAAACAACCGAAATATTTTAAAATAGAGTTCGTATTTTTTGCGTTACATGCTAGTATCCTTTTCATCTATATAATATGTAAAACTTTAAACCAAAACAATTTTCAATATCAAAATATGTAAAAAGTTTTGAAAATACTTTTAGCTCTACACATTAATCCCAGTTGTTTATATGAATGTGTTATCTAAAGTTTGTTTGTATTAAAAGTACAATACCAATACTATTTATCTAACTTAAGAATAACGCACTATGAGACAGTTTATAAGTTTTATAGAAAACTGAAAAATAAACTTATCACTTATCCCATATATAGTGAATTTATTTTTCTTGGTCTATTACGTGGTTATTCCCGTCTAAAACCCATATTTCATCCATTTGTTAAAAACAGTTCAAGTTCATTGTAATGTAACTGCAATTAGCTTATTTTTGACAAATCCCGATATAAAGGCTGAATTCGTCAGAAATGAATTGAATTTAACTTGCCATATGTTTCCCGGTCGTTTGATATTGAGACTCTTGTCTGAGAACTACAGCCCTCGGTTTTATTGAATCTCACATAAAAACATAAGAATTTTTTTTGAAAAAAATCAGCCAATATGATTATTGTGCCGTATACATTGTAGATTTTAGATTTTAAGGAAATTAAATGGAGACAAAGAACATATCTCTGAGGCCACCACAGCTACTCGCCACTTGTTGTAGCGTCCCTACGCCTCCACCCATAATATCTTTGTTCCAAATATAAAGCTGAAGATCTCAAGGCAACAGTTCACGAAAGCTCAGGAAATATAACGCAAAACAAATACAACGTCGGACAGGCAGTGCGGCATCTATATATTTTAACAGGTACAACTCATTACTTTGGCACTTACTAGGTATTCACTCTTTGCAGGTAACAATCAGTTTTATAAATTCCAATATTTTCAATAATAACTTGTGTAATTTAGATATTGAGGAAAAATATAAGTATGACAGCATTATGAGAAGGGGATGGGTATTACCACAATCTTTTCGAATTTAATTTAAAAAATCAACAAAATATAAGAAAAGAGAAATAATTTAAATTTTTATGATTTTGGTGGTTTTAATTTATTTTGTTCGAGTATAAAACTTTTCAAAAAAAAAACAAAAACTTTGGTAAATTTATTTTTTTTTGGTTTGTGTAAAAGAAAAAATTTTTATTTTTATGCCGGCAAAAATGTCTTTTATATTTTCAATCAGAATTTTCAAAAAAAGAAGAAAAAAAACTTGTCAATATTTTTGTTGTTTTTTTTACAAGAATGCTTTAAAATGTAAAAATTTAAAAGTTTAAAAGGAAAAATTTGATTTAAAGAGTTGGTAAAGAGCAAGAGAAAAAAATATAAGAGAAATGAGAAAACAATGTAATCTCTGGAAATTTGTGTTCATTAGAAGTTGCTAGAATTATTAAAATAAATAACATTAAATTTTTGAATTTAATTTTGAGTAAGAAAATTTACCAAAAAATTTAATATATACGAATGAAATAAAGAGTAACAGCTTGGCTGTAATCCAGAGGAATAAATTTTCCAAAAATAACTGAATGAGGAACATAAGTTTAAACCTTGCCTCATCTCTTTTTATTAACTAGAGCGGGAAAATATGTGTAATGCGGGTACTTTTGGGGCAGCATGTAAATATTGAGGCCTCTCGGATTATAAAGGAGAGGGTTAGAAAAGAATAGGTGAAACGAACGAGAACTCCCGACTCTGAAACCTTGAGTGCTAGCACGGCATTTCACTGCCTTCATTCACGAAATACAGGCAAAAAAACATGATCGAACATGGTTAGCTGATTAGTTTTAGAAAGTTATGTCTAGATCAGGTGTATTTTAGGCTGAGCGCCCACTGGGAATAAATTAAATTCATAATATTGGATTAATTTGAATTTGTCTGCACTCTCCACAGGCATGGAAACTTAAAACAAATTATCCATTTTATTTGAAAAGATTTAGTTTATTTTAAAGAATTCAGTTATGAAAGTTGTAATGCAATAATTTTCATTTAATAAATTTAATAATTTTTCTTAATTATGAATATACAATAATTGTAGACACACATTTAAAAATTGTATTAAAATTTTCATTTAAAAAAAACTCACCTGAAAATATAAAACAATTTTACACATTGATTCACCAAGAAACCATGTCTCTGTTACATCCCATACAACTGAAGGTGGTAAACATATTAAAATAACAAAAAAATCTGCTATCGCTAAATTGACAATATAAACATTTGTAACGGTTCTCATGGAATAATTTGTATAAACGGCAATACATACAAGTGCGTTCCCGACCTTTTGTTATTAAAATATATGATAAATAAAAATAAAACAAATTATTATTTACAATTTTATTCTTTAAGAAATTCAAAATAAATGCTGAAATAGTTGTAAAATAAAATTTTTGTGATTAAGGTTTTTGGCGTTCAGTTGTATATTGAGCTTAAAATTTTCGAAAAACTACTAAATAGTGTTAATACGTTTCCGTTACTAAGACGAGACTAACTAGAGAGCTATAAAAGTTTTTGTTAAATTAGAACAAAGTTAAACGGTCAGTTTAAATTCATGTACATGACAGTTTAAGGAAGTTTCTTGATATACATTCTATACTGGCCGATTCTGATTTGTCCGGCGCCCTAAACGGATTCTGAAACGTAATGGAAAAAAGTGACAGAAAATTGTTTTGCTTCTTGTTTTAAGGTCTCAATTGCACCACTATTTTGTTTATGGTAGACCCGGTGCTGACTCTATACATATTCCTGACAATTGACATTGAAATTGCAATAATTTACTGTTTGGAAATAGTAACATAGTAGTAAACTATGCAATTCAGCTTTTATCTGAATTGCATATTAACATATTATTACTATACGGATCTATTATTAGCAATACAAATTTGCACAATTCAGCTTATTATACTCGTAACTAGTATTTGTTACAATTCAGCTTATAAGTTTTGATTGCTGAATAGTGTATACAATAGAATTGCATTGCTGACAAAATTACAGAAAATTAAATGTAGGAATATCCTAATCTTCAGAAAATTGCTATATAATACGAAATTATTATTCAGTTCAGTTTATGATTTGAAATTATTTAAAAGAGCTGAAATACAAAAATATATTATTGGGTTTTATACACCTTAACAATTGCTTTTATCGGATTACTTTTACCATTTATTATATTAATACCTATATATTGACTGTACACTGAAACGTTTGCAATAAATAGTAAAGGCGTAAATAGAGAATGTACATCAACTCTTACATATATAATTCAATTTTACATAGGTGATGCTTGCTGAATTGTTATTATAATAAAAAATTTTTTTATTTCTTTGATTTTTCAATTGATTCCGCCATCATCTACCTGTTCTTTGTTATTGGATATTTCCAATAACATCACTTTTAATGGTTTTAAATGGAATTTAAATTGAAATTCAAAAAAAAAAATATACTTCCTAAGCTCATACGACGTGTTTTAATTTACAAATGTAAAAAATTCTTTCAAAATCCAAATTCAATTTAAAATTTATGAATTCAATTTTCTTTCGTTTGCATTCAATGTAATTTATTTTTAGTTTTTTTTTCTGTAATTTAAATAATATATACAATGAATTTCTTAGCTTAAAACTGTTCATCGTGTTGATATCCTTTAGACCTCAAATTTTTAAATTCTTTTTAGATATTGATACCTTATCAACATGTAGAGGCTAATGTAAAACAGTGGAGTTTGACTTTATAATCTGCACGACCTCGTGGAACATTTCAACCGATAACTGAATTCTACACTGACTTGTTTGCTCGAGTTATTAATAGTTTTATTGGTAATACTTAATAGGACTTCAATCAAGGAAAACCTGTTTATTCTCCTGCTGAAATGAGTTAGACATGTGCAATATATATGTATTTATTCAGAAAAACAAAATGAAACCTAGTATAACTCCAACTTATGATGGCTCATTTTCGGTAATATGTCGTTTCCGAAAATATTGCATGGCTAAAATAAAGACTAGGAATACGAGTACATTGAAACTCAATCTGCCTTTTGTCCAGTATAACATAATATACTGTTGTATACATAATTTTTTAATTACGATATTCTTAATAACTACACTGTGTAATTTACTCGGAGAGTGGTAATGCAACGGTCATTATTATAACTGAAATAAGATTTAAGTTTATCGCAAAATCATATTCTCTTTTTCCACTCCCTCAATATTAGTGTAACAGGTACACAACTAGGTATAATATAATGAAATATAATGTTAAAGATAAATATTACATCTATCAAAAAGAAAAAGGAAAATATAACAAGATGTTTATTGTTCATTTGGTGGATTTCTATCACCCTGTTTTGGAAGTACTGTCAAGTCTCGGATATCTTGTGTATTTCCAATAAGAGCATTTTTTTAATATTTTGGGGTTAATTTTAGATTAATTTTTAAAGAACAATAGGTTAAAATAAATAATTATGAATATATTTTTACGATATTGTTGGGATAAGCTAAATAGTTACTAAATATATACTTAAACAACATATTTGCAATAAAAAATCCATTCGACCCCAAACTTATGATTTAAATCCTTTATATATGAAAAATTTATAAATTTTTCTATTAATTTTCTATTTGAAAAATATTTCAAAACAAAAGGAATATTTTACATTACCTATACACTTTACAAAAATGCTACGTTGCCATTTTTTCTTCATAATTATTACTGCATGTAGTATATGATTTGTTATTTACATACATATTTAACACCTAATACAAATAAAATTTTATTGTTTATACGGGTGTGCAAGAATGCATTTAAATATAAATAAAACATTGAAAGATCACAATAGAAATATAAGGAAAAATGATGAAAAAATTTACAAAGAAAATCATTTGGAATCCGTTAATAGCTCGGTGTTTTATATCAAAGATTGTCATGGTCTATATACTTTATAGTAGATTCTTTATTTATTTTTTGTAATATCAATAAAGGTTTATGAAGAGTATATTCTTTATAACAGCAGAAATGGAAATATATATTTAGGATTTTTCTTTTACTCGTACAGCATATGATGCACATTCTCCATCACCCCAACATCTTAGCATCCGTGGCAAGTATCCAATGATGAAATGCCCAGTCTCCTACCTATCTTTCCCAATAAACAGAGTCCTGTCAAAAAAACCCTCGTTCTTATTAATAATACTATCATATAGTGTAACATTGGTATTGGTAACACTAAACTAATCATTCATAAATTACAGATGACGGCAGTTCGAATAATAAAGCAAATAATAACATTGGCCTCTTCTTTAAAAGACATTTGTATTATAATTAATAATATAAGCTAAATAAATGTAAAATCGCATATTATAATAAACTTCGATTCGTGGGGATGAATTTCTTTACAAGAGAATTCGACTGTATAATATGATATAATATGTTATAACAGTATATTGTTTGGTAAAACTGTATAGAATTCTTAAATGAAAAAATGGAACTTACCAATCCTGTAATAAATACAACACAATGTGTTGCTATTAAAATCCATTCAGAACGACTGGGATATATATAATCATATAAGTATTGCATATATTCCTCATATGTTGCATTACATGGTATACAATCATCACATTCTAAATTACATTCATCATCATCATTATTATAAATAGTTGAATTTGTATCATTTGTATTATAACTGCTATTTAAATAATTTATATTATTTAATAGTAATGCAGTATAATTATTATTAGTATTACTGTTATAGCTATTATAATTATTATTATTATCATTATTATCAATATTTTTATTATTTTGATATATTATATTTTTATTTAATATTGAACTATTACAATTTAGATTGTCCTCTATTATAATTGAATTAGTATTATTATTATTATTTAAACAATTATTATTATTAATATTAGTAATATTATTAATTTCTAATATTTTTAAATTATTATTAAAATTATTAAGATAATTATTATTATTTTTATTATTTTGTTCTATAATTTGAGTATTTTGAATAAAATTATTATTTTCTTTAATATCGCCAATATTTTCATTAACATTTTTATTATTTTCTCCTATTATAATATTGGTATCATCATTTGCATAGTCATTATTACCATCATAGTCATTATTATTATTATCTTGAATTATATTTCGTTTAAAACGTTCTGTATTATTATGATTACTATTTAATAATAATTGATGATCATAATCATCTTGAATTTTTAAGATTATTGTATTACTATTATTTTTATTATAATTATCAATTGATTTTATTAAAGTTGTAATATTATTATAATTACTAATGTTATAGTTATTAAAATCAATTTTATTTGATTTATTTTTTGATATTGTATAAAAATCAATAATTTTTTGATTATTACTGCTATTATCTTTATATTTTTTATTATTATGAGATAATTTGAGTGTTGTAGGATGTGTTATAAATGATTTTGTAAAATTTTTCTGTCGAAATCTCTTCTTCCATTTGTTATTTTTATCATTATCACTTTTATTATTTTGGCTACTCACATTTTTACGACTAAAATGAAGTTGTTTGTGTTTTATATGATTTTTCTTAAGCGATTTATGTGATTTTATATTGGATTTGATTATTGGTTTCTGTGAATTTAAAAAAATAAAATTAAATATTTTATATAAGAATTTTAATTTTTTTAGAAGAAACTCTAAAACTTTGCAATTGAGTACTCTGACAGAGATATAGAGTTTTCAGTTTTGCAACTGTTTGATTGCTTATTTATATTCCATGGCTTTATATTCAGGCGGGCACACATGCAACTGTATGATCGTATACAATTAAACAATCAAACATTTTGTAATTTTTTACAAACTGATTTCAATTTATTAATTTCAAATATCTTAGTTGTTTAAGTAAGCGTTGAATCAATTTGCAATATTGCAATCAAATTGCAATATTGTAAAACCAAAAAGCCCTTCCAACAATTTGTCATGTCGCGTGCAATACTGAATTAAATCGCGATTTATACAGTATTGCATGCGTTGACACGACGTCTTCATTTTAAATTAAACAAACTTAAACATAGTTTGGAATAATATGCTGAAGTACATTATTTTAAATCTTACCGTTTTTTCCGATTCAGTGAAACTATTTAATATAATTGTAGTAGATTTAATATCACTTTCACTATTTCTTCCTATTATGATTGATGACGATGATGATGATTTTCCATAGCCAAATGGTGGATATATAAAATATTGATAATCTATTAATGATATATTATTTATCACAAAATTTGAGCTGTTTGTTAATATTTTTTTCGTAGAATTTAATAATTCTACATTATTTGTAGATAAATGAACCGTTGATGGTAATTCTGTTGTTAATAATGTTTTTGATATCGTTGATGTTATATAATTAATATTATTATTATTTTTAACAATATTATTATTTAATATTTTTTCTATATTATTAAATTCATTAATGTTATTATTATTTTTTAAATTATTATATGCTTTGACATTATTTAAAGGATTCATTAAAATTGATATCACAATAATTAATAAATTAAATTTTATTAAAAAATTTTTATATAATTTTATTAAATTATTTAATTCCATTTTTGCTTCTATTATTTAATTTATTTATTTTTTGAAAGGGAACATTAATTTGTCATAGCTTTGAATATTTTCTTTTATTGTTGTTTATTAAACAGTTATTTTTAAAGTACTACACAGATAGTTTCTTTTAAACGGTAACACTCTTTTTATATCACTTCTTGTCAAAATATAAATTTCCGTTTGTAATTATTACGGCAAACATATTGAATAAATGTCAAATTAGGTTTATTTACAATTAAATTTTTAAAATATTCAGCAGAATGGCAAAACATAGTTTTTGAAATTCCTACAAAATTTATGTAAAATATTTCAAAAAAGAAAAATTCACAATTATTATAAAAATTATTTGAAATTTTTTAAAAAAATTTCTTTAATTTTGTTTAATTTTTATGAGTTTTTTAACAAAATAGTAACAAATTTATTTACTCTTTCAGTGTTATTAAGTATAAGGAACAATACATATATTAAATTAAATTTAAAATTGTTTAGGATTATCCTTTTTATATACTTTTTTTTTATTTCCCGTCGGGGAAAGGGGAACTTAGGACAAATCGTGGAATCTTTTGCGATTCCCATCCGTACCTACATTAGCACTATATCAAGGACCCTGGGAAATTGCGAGAGTATGAGAAAAAGCAAGACTGCCGAAGCATCTCAGTCGGAGGATAGCATCCGCCTCGTAATTAAAAAATAAATACTCTACCGTTTCGTATAGTTTCAGGTAGTGACAGCAGATCTCTGCCTCAATTTTGCCCATCCTTTACAAATGGACAATCGAGAATCAATGCCTAGTGAGTACATCCAGTAATAGCCTCAAATCTGGACAACCAATTTTGGCCAGTCGTTGCTTACCCGCTCCTTAAGGAGACATAAATTTTTTGAAATGAGATAGACCTGGACATTTGTTTCAATAATTGGTTCATCCAACCATCATAGACTGTTATATTCTTGGCACCCTAAATCATGGATTTGGCCCAATTAAGGGAATTGTCGATCTGGTAAGACCGTCAGCTTTCTCATTTTCATTTTTGCCATAATATTCCGGCACCCACATCTGACCTTGTTGTTATTCCTAGCCAGAACCTTAACTATAATAACGCTTTCCCTTAGCTGTCCGACAAAATAAAGATCCTGGCGCTCCTTATGCCCCTTCTGATACTTCCCACACAATTTAATAGCTATCCTCACATATACAATTTACACGTATGTAAAAATTTAACTAAGAATTAAAAAATTTGTCGATTTTGCACATCTTTTGTATTTAATTTTTGATTTAAATTAAATTTTTTTTTTTACTTAAATAATAAATGACTACTACTTCCATATAATGCTATCCAATTTAATATTTCCCTATGAATCAAATTTTTATGATAAATAGCATGATTTAAGGTTATAAGAGTATAAAGCAAAAGAAAGAAAAAAGACATGTATTTTTGGAATTTTCTCTATAAAAATTGTTGCAATTTTTTTTTTTGCTTTTATGGTCACTTACATAAAATTTTTTTGTTTCGTGCCTTTCAAAAGAATTCAAGTGAAAAATAAGTGAAAGATATCCTTTTTTTTCTCTTTTTGTCAGATTGTCTCTTCTCATTTAATATTACGTACGTCCGATGCGATAGAAATCAGAGAAATTTTTACAAAATTTGTTTGTATCCACTTTTTATAACTAAAAAAAATTTAGTTGAATTTTTTTTTCACTAAAATCATATTTTTACTTCCTATTGTCCTTTATATTTTACTATTATTCTGCTATCATTTTGTAGGAACATGGTAATATTGTATCCTTTTTTTCGATCCTTTTTTTTTCTCATCATATTTTCTTTTCCTTTTATTTTTATTACTTAAAAATTGTTTAAGTAAAGGAAACCAATATCAATTGCATTGGACACAGAGAGAGCAAAAAAGAGAGCAAAAAACGAAAAAACAAAGTGTTTTATGCTTTTGAAAAATTCTTTCATTATCTTCAAAAATTGATTGATAATGATAAAAAAAAAAAAAAAATAATGATAAGGATCATAAAAAATTGTTACTATTATGATAAAAAAATGGAAAAAAACCTGAAAAGAAAAAAACGTACCACACAAAAGTAGCATGAAATAAAAAAAAAATTAACAAAAAAAATGTTGGATAATTTCATTTTTACCGTTTTATGGTGTCCTTTTTCTTTTTCCTTTTCTTTTCTTTTCAATTTTAAAGGATGCGGTTACATTTTCGTTAGTTTATCTTTGTAACTTTAAATTCCGGGTTCATTGAACAATTATGCTGAATTATTTCTGACATAAAATTTGATGTTCGTTCAATTGTCAAAATTGTCATTTTGTATTGCGCCATCTACGAATAGAAAAATAAAAGAGAACAAAAAATAAAATTTTTTTTTTCATTTTAAATTTATAAAAAAATTTTTATTAAATTATTATAAAATTTAATGGTAGTAAATTTTATTAGAATTTTAGTAAGTTTTGAACAAGCATGTAATTTCTAAATCATTTAATTTTCTTTTAAATTTTGTTAAATTTGTTAATTGTGTATATATATGTGTATATGTTAATAATGTATAATGTAAAAAATTTATTCTAATTGCATGTTAAAATTTTTATTAGGCGTCCACTGATTACAAATTATTATAGTTTAGCCACAATGGATCGCAAACGTTAGTTATTTCAGCTTAATTGTCAACATTTAAAAAAACAACAATGCGACGTCTATGTGTTATATTCGTAAGATAGTAAGTAAGTAATAAAGTTTTGAGGTTTACGTCAAAATGCAAAATGTATAAATCAAGTTAGAGTTTCAAGATTTAATCTTGTAACTCTGTATAATAATTATAGAGCACTTAGAAGAAAAAGGTGACAAGCTTTAAATACGAAAATATCAGTTGGTAAGAGTTGCTTTATTTAAATATGATTCGTTATTTGCAAATTAAAGTAATTGGCGTGAGTGACATGGTCGTCAAATTGGCAATATTCTGGGAATGTATCCAGTAGTAAATGTTGCAAAATTCAACTCATTTGAGATGTTGAAACTCGTGGAATATCGTTTAATTTAACAAATTGAATACTGCTGAAGGTATCGTTTAAGTCAAATTATTTGCTGAAAATCATTTTAGTAAATACACA